GAAGGAGTAAACAAACCAGGCAGAAGTCTGAAGAAACAAAGAGGGAGTCATAATTTCTAACTTTGTCACAATAGAAAAACTGAAGTAAGGTAGAATCGAAACTTGTCAAACCAGGCACGTTGGAGCTTGTATTTCAGGCCCATACAGAGATTTTTTAACTTACAACATCGGGGCATGTGTTGTAAGATGAAGGCGACACTACAACCCAGTGGAGAGTGTCCAATATAAATATCTTCTGTTAATATCACTCATCGAAGATAAAGCATTTTGACAATCCATATGATATGGATATGTCAGAGAGGCCAACCCTGACGAAGAGAGCACAAGCTGCCATAATAGAATACCGGACGGCTGAGTGCACACCTTTGCAAACTGGAGCAAAGCGTTCTTCCTCATAGTCCACTCCGTATTTTGCTTATGTGCCCAAGCAGCAACAATCTGACCGGCGACGTTGTATATCGATCCAAAGTTCCATCGCAGATACGAAGCTTGAGACTGAATAAAACCCATTTACATCCAATGGGACTTGATAACATTATCTGAGGCGAGAAAGGAAGTAAATTCATCCCATAGCATAGATGTTGGTCGTGATATCGTTTGAAATTCATCCTGCATTCGGCTTTTTGCCAACATTCATCTCTTGGAGGCTTGTGAGTAGCAAGATGGAAAAGAAATATCAGATAGAAGTGCAGAATATCCAGCCGGAATGATCAGGAAAACCATACCGTTCTTGGAGGTCGGGATATTCTGGTTAGTACGCAGCAGTAGATTCAGGAGATCAGACATAGATGAGGGATCAGTCTCGGGAAAGGCGCCGTTGGTTGATGCGTGCCATAACACAAATCCAGGCTTTAAACGTATAGAACATGTAAATCCTTCAAAAATTGGAAGAATGGGAAGTAAGAGAAGACTTTGCAAGATTAGGAAAGAAATATGATGCTCAAAGAAAATAACATTGCGAGAACAACGAAATTTGTTAGACGTGGAATCATGAGCAACAAAACCCTTTGTGAAGAAGAATTTATAACCCATAATATGCACGATGTTACAGATTGAGCGAAAGTTTATGACGGTCCAATGAAAAGGTAGGATGAACAAAACAATACACAACCAATTGTGTAAATCATGATAGATTACGGATATTGATGATATAGACGAAATATGGGGAGTCAAGACTTAAATACCTGAGAAGGCTTATTAATTAGATAAGTTGCAGTAGATAAGGTTTCAACAGCAAAACTTAGAATGGAACTGTGAAGATAATTACAAAGTTCAGGGTTACATCCAAAAGATGACGAATTTTTTAACAGGCTCAGCTAACTCCATCTTTGTTGTGGTGTAAATAAGGACATGAACGTTGTGAGACAAATCCCTTCTTCACCGAAGAATAATTCTGAAAATCCATGAAGAGACATATTTCTCCTCCAGAATCAGATTCGTAATAGACTTTAATAAAGTAGAAAACTGAGGTCTTACATAGGCTAAAAGGTCCCTTAAAAACAGAATATACATTAGATTTAAGAAATGAAAGAAAGTATTACCCATGTATAATCTAACTTAGATCAATCTCAAATATAAATGTCACAAAGTACTTGTATTGAAGCATGAGAAATAGACGGGCAGTAAGTGCCCAGACAATCACTATGAAATTATATCAAAACATTTGGAACAGCAAACGACTTAACCATTAGAAGGAAAAGAAGAGTTTTTGCTTTACCGAGTCCCACAGTGGAACCAAAAGGAACCTTAGCAAGGAATTCTTTATTGGCCCAGAAACCAGAATTTGATAATGAGACAAAATTAACAGGATTAGGTGACTAAAACGCTAATGCCATAGTTCACTTTGCTAATAACTGTAAGTACAAAAATGAAGAGAGTACGAGGACCGGAAAAATTAGTAAATGGAAAACTCCCAACTTTAGGCCGCCTTTCGCGATTACTTGGTCCCCGATGCCTGATCCATGCACAAAGACAACCATTAGAGAGAAAAGTGCACATCATAATTGTATACTAAACTGACCAAATCCGAAAGAAAGCTTAAGTTGATGAGCTTTGGAGATATAAAGAACATTGTTGAAACATTTGGTCTAAGATCTCCCAATCCTTCAGTAATAGGTATTGTAAACTACCATTTTGCAATCTGAATTTCAGTTGAAACCGATGATATTTTGCCGAAACATTGGTAAGCATTGCTAGATTGTGTTGTCATTAATGATTTGGGCAGCAGAATCAAAAAGCCAAAAGTTGAGAGGAGAAGAAGGTATCGTTACCTTGTTAATCCAAAGCGGAGAAGGCCTGAAAAATAATCATTTGTTGCACCATTTCTGGAGTATCAGAAATCACAGGTTCAGCAGCTGAAGAGGGAGTTGTAAGAAACTGTTGGATTGCAGCAAATGAGTGAATTATTTGTGCAAATTGGGGCAAGCAATTCGGATTTTCGATTTGAGGGCCCGTGTCCCGGACAACCTCCTTTATGCACATGTCCTGACTGTTTGCAATTAAATTACAGAAACTTCTTCACAAGGACAGCAATTGGCCATAATTGGCACGTTAATAAATTGAAATCCTACTCTTCCGACACTTTCCTCCTTCTGGCAGCAAAAGCAAACCTTGAACAGTATTTTCTTGTTACAGTATTTTCTTGTTGGAGAGAGTTCTGAGTGAGAAAATGTTGTTCTTCGCGAAGTAATTCGCCAAAACAAATATCTAAAGAAGGTGAAGGAACATGACTCATTAAATTTGAGCGAAGTGTCTCGAATTCAGACCTCAACTTCATTAAGAATTGATCTCTTTTGCTTTGCTCATGAATTTCTTGAAGTATAGAGAGAGATTCTGCAGGTACTTTAGCATAAATAGTGTCAGTAAACTCAGCCCATAAATTCTGAAAACCAGAATAATATTCCTCAATGGAGAGATTTCCTTGGGAATAATTAGCAATATCGCTCTCCAATTGAAAATGTCTTGCAGCATTGTCTTGATTATAAACCTTTTTCAAGTAATCCCACATGGCCTTTGCAGTTTTAGAAGACCTCAAATTAGAAGCAATAAGAGGGTCAACTGACCCCAGAATCCATGTCATTACTCTTGCATCTCTAACTTTCCAATGAAGCAACTCCTTAGAACTCCTTAGCATCTTTAGGAGCTGGATCATTTCCATCTATATGGCCCAACAGTTCTTTTCCTGTAACAAAGAGCTGGAATTGAAATTCCCATGAAGAATAATTTTTTCCGGTGAAGCGAACATGAAAACTCTCAACTGTGTTTGATGTGGCCATCTCAAATAGCACAAGGAAACCAGAAATGCAAAATTAGGAATAACACAACCAGGAGCAGGTCTACTAGAAGAAGCAACAGACCCACCAAGATGAAAATCCTACAGCCAGAAAGTTGCAGAAAAATGTCTACCAGAATCTCTTCCAAATGAAGAGAACCGAAAAGAACCCTCAAATAAGAAATTCCAGAATTTCTATGATGCGAGAGTTCATCACAAGATAGTGACCTAAACAAAGAAAAAGGCAGAACAGAAACTGACAGTAAATTAAAAAGACAGCAGAATCTGCACTTATGTTCTTCAAAAAACCAAAGTGAAAAACTCATAAAAGAACAGCTCTAAATGGCCCTAATTAGGCTCTGATACCAATGTACAAGAACTGCTGTATTTCAATGGAATTTTGGATAGGAAAAATTGCTTGTTTTAACACAAGCTGATTGGTGTTAAATTGCAACTGAAAGTATTACACAATTGGGAATAAATTTCCTAAATTACAGCCTCACCACTGATCCCCATTGTCTCCTAATTAATGGCTGGAATACAGCCAATTTGGCTCCTAATTGATGCTAATATTGTCCCTCTCTACTTGAATGCCGCATTGGTCATCTAATATGGTTGAACATTCTACAGCCTTAATTAGTTCCCTACATTGATGGTTTATTTACAGCTATCTTACAATAAGTATAGCAATTAATTTACAATAAGTATACTCCTAACATAAATTACTAACAGCCCTCACCGGTTTTTTCTGATTGAAACAAGACCATCAAAACAATGGAAGGGGAACAGGCCCATCAGTCAAGGCGATCGAAGGCAAAAGGTGTCAGTAGGTTCAGCCACCAGTTCCAGAAATCTACAGGGTCAGCTAACGTGTTGGAGCCATCATAAAGAGTAATAATTTAGAAGGAGTAATAATTTAGGAAAGTTGGCAAATTGGAACAACCTAGAACTGCCGCAAAGAACATAGTTTTCCAGCAACCATTTCAAGTCTTAATAGTTGTATATAGAAGATAGAGTAGAGCAAAAGAAAGAAACAATCGAACAACATCAATTGTTAGCACAACTAGAGGATCTTGCTTGTGATTTGGCAGCCTCTAGATGGGAAAGTATTGGAAAGAAGCACGAAATGACGTAAAGGAACATAGGGGAGCATTTGATCCAGGAATATTAATTAAACGTAGAAGCACAATAAACAGCTCCTTATTTGCAGCAATAATGAAGGATGATAAGGATTTTGTTTGCATCACATTTTTACAAGTTGAAGATTGCATGTAATCCATCCCTTGCGTTTTAGGACTAGCGCCTTTTCGAGGGGGAGTATATTGTTATGGAGCTGCTAGACTTAGGGTAGTTTTACAGCTGCATTTAGGGTGTTTTTATTCAGTTATTCAGTTCTTATCATGTTATTAGAGAAATGGGAAGAGCGGAGGTAGAGCCTCCTACAACTAAGGAAATGAAAAATGCATAACAGAAAAAAAAAAAAAAAAAAGGAAAAGGTAAAATCAATAAGTACTGGCAGACTTGGCCTTCCTAATTACAAGTGCATGATCCTGCCTTAGAGGAAGTGTCTAAGAGTGGGGTTCAAGACATCCCTTTCCCATGTGTGAATCTTTTGTAAACCTTAAATGGCAAAATATTTGGGTACAAATTGGATTTGATTTTAGGCCATCAAATTACCAAAAAGCAAATTCCCTATGCAAAAGGATGCAAAGAAAATCAAATGGTATACCTATTTTCACTCAATGCCAAGCTATCAAGCAAGTCATTTAACTCCTTTACTGTTAGCCCACCTGATGACATTCCTTGCCTATGTTGGAGGACCTGTTCCAAGCAAGAATTGGACAATGAAAAACATCATTATTATGAAATTGAAGGAAAAATTTAGATGCTAATAAGTACTGTATGGATGCTATTTACGTATACATATGGATGCAATTAACATATCCATATATAAACTCCTGTACATCCATGTCAGAATTCCAAGACTTTGAATGTGGAGGAAGAAAAATATGCAAAGTTGCACAAGTCTTAATTCAATATTTAAGCAATTTAATTCTGAAAAAACTTTCTAAAACATCTTTTTATCATGAAAAAAAAAAAAGAGATGAAAAACAGAAGGAAAACCTTACCTACTCCAAAATTAACCTTTTATAAACCTTACCAACTAAAAGCAATAACTTCCACAATAACATGCAGAATGCCTCAATCAACCAATGATTGAAGCTTACAATTTCAAGGGACAAATTGCAGTTCAAATTCAATGTTCTAACCAATAAATTTTCTACTTCAATGGTATTAGCATGATAGATAAAACTAAACATTCAAATCCTTAACCAAAAAAACTAAATAACTAAATTAGATTAGAACATCATGAAATTATACCAATGCTCCATTAATTATGAAAAATAACTTGTCTAGAAAATATTTTCCAAAGAACTCATTTTCTATAATTTCATTGCAATGTTGAAAATTAACTAGAAAAATGTTAAAATTTTTAATTGACAAGATTAGAAAAATTTTGAATTATTATAAGAACCTAATATCGTTTAAATTTCTTTTTAATTATGAAAAAAAAAAAAAAAAAAAAAAAAAAAAAAAAAAAAAAGAAAAAAAAACAAAAAAAATAAAAAAAAAAAAAAAAAAAAAAAACATTTACAACGGCAAATCATGATGTCGCTCTAATTCACTGAACAAATATATAGGACAAGCCCAAAGCAGTATAGGACAAAAAAATCAGGTACGCCATTGAAACCTTTGATCATTACCATTGCTTGATTCAAAAAAGCTCTCACAAATGCCCAAAACAATTTGGCTTACAATCATTTTTTTAACTTAAATTCAATTTGGTTACAATTCATTTTTTTAACTTAAATTTAAAAGACAAAAAACAAAGCTTTTTCATTGTATGATACAAGGATTTTACATTTTTAAAAATCATAGGATTTATTTTTTGTTTTATTTAGAAAAATAGAAAAAAGAATATCTATAAAAATAATTAGATAGAATAGCTTCAACCTTGTCAATTGATAATGAGAAAACGAAATCCAGATAAATATCAATGCCTATTACAGGCAAAAGGATAGAGATCGAATCAAATAACGCTCGCAATCCAGAATAAAAAAATAAGAGGTTTTGGACATTGAGAAAATTAGGAACTGAAGAAGTGTTTGAAGCACATTGCTTGATTATTCCCTCAAGCTCTTGGGGATTAAATAGTATGAAGAATGATACAAGTAAGAAAGGAAATCAATAAAAATAAACATAATCCTTAATTACAACCCTAATCAAATCATATCTAATCATACAACAGATCATAGCAAATCATAACACTCCCCCTAAAGCTGGAGCGTACATGTCGTATGGTCCTAGCTTGCCACAAATGTATTCAATTCGAGGCCCTCGTAGAGATTTAGTAAGAATATCCGCCAACTGATCACTTGAATCAATGAAAGAGGTAGCTATGCATCCGAACTCAATCTTCTATCTAATGAAGTGACAATCTATCTCTATACATTTCATTCTTTCGTGAAACATTGGATTCGAAGCAATATGCAGTGCTACTTGATTGTTAGATATTAGTTTCATTTGATTCACTTCTCCACATTCAATTCTTGAAGAATTTGCTTTAGCCAGATAAGTTCACAAGTGACCAATACCATGGTTAAATATTCCGCTTCTGCACTTGATCTAGCTATAACATCTTGCTTTTTACTTTTCCAAGATATTAAATCCCTCCAATCATAACACAATAGCCTGAAGTGGATCGCCTATCAAGAGAACTTGCCCAGTTCGCATCTGAATAGCCAACCACTTGTGTGTGACCTCTTTCTTCATATAGCATTATTGTCCAAGAGTTCCTTTGATGTACCGAAAAATGTGAACAACAGTATCCCAATGGCTATTGCAAGGAGACTAAAGAAATTGGCTAATCACACTTACTGCAACGGATATATCTGGTCGTGTGATTATGAGATAGTTAAACTTATCGACAAGTCTTCGATATCTACCAGGGTCTTTTAACGGCTACCCCTATCTTGGAACAAGTCTAACATTAGGGTCCATATGGGTATCATAGGTTTACAATCCATCATGCCAGTTTCCTCCAATATTCCAAGGCATATTTCCTTTGTGAAATTGCAACTCCTGTCTTAGACTGTGTTACCGCAATTCCCAAAAAGTAATTCAATTTTCCCAAACCTTTGGTTTGAAATGGCTAAACAAATGTTGCTTAAGTTGAGAGATTCTTTCATGATCATTGCATGCTATGACAATGTCATCAACAAAAACCACTAAGTAAGCACCAGTGTTGTCAAAAGCGCTAGGTGCCCTTGAGGTGACAAGGTCCTCCATCGCTTGAGGCACCAGGCGCCACTCAAGGCGCTTGCCTAAGTGATGTCAAGATTCAAAAATTCTAGATAACTCAAAATTTAGAATACTAAGTATATAAAACTTCATGTATTGGAGTTGTTCTTCATGTTAAAGTTGGATGACGTTTGTCGTTTTTCAAATTCGGGTACCGGTCAAGCTTTGTTAGGAACTTCTAGAAATCCTTCCCATAAAGTTATTCAATAGCATAGGAGATTAGGACATCCCTCTTTTTCTATTTTAGGACATTTATTTCCCCAATACCATAGGAGATTAGGACATCCTCTTTTTCTTATTTTTAGCGTAATTATTTCCCACTTTATTTTGCTAAGTGTTCTGATTTCGATTCATTGTCGATTCATTAGTATGTGATACTTGTGAACTAGCCAAATACACCAGGCATTCTTATTGTCCAATTATTAATAAAAGCTTGATTCCTTTTGCTACTATTCATTCTGATGTATGGCGTCCTACTAAAACTGTCTCTCTTTCTGGTTATAGGTGGTTTGTGAACTTTATTGATTGTTGCACTAGATCGACTTGGATTTATTTAATGAAAACAAAAAATGAAGTTTTTTCATGTTTTCGGAACTTCCATAAAATGATTTGTACTCAGTTTGGGGGATGCTATTTTGACTACTGCTTACCTTATCAATCGTATGCCTCTTCGTACTTTAAATTTTAAAACTCCATTAGAGGTTCAGAGGTTTTCTTCAAGCGAAAAAAAACTCTTTATATTGTACCTCCTAAAGTTCTTTGGTTGTGTTGTTTTGTTCATCAGAAGGTCTAAGCAAATTAGATCCTAGACCTTGAAGTGTGTGTTTGTTGGTTACTCTACTACTCAAAAAGGGATACAACTGTTATCATCCTTCCTTCTAGAAAATATTTGTGGAGTATGGATGTACATTTCGGAATTTGAGTCTTATTTTCCCTTTCCCAATACCTCTTCAGGGGAGAATATCAGATGGCAAGAGTTGCATGTAATGACATTCCTTTCCAGCGGGGAGTTTCCTATAGACATAGATAGTGAGAGAACAACCACCCAAACCTCTAAAAAGATTGGATAGACCTGATTTGTGAAAACCTACACAACAGCGATAATACAGATACAACCATGGAGCATGAGACCTCTAATCAACCGTTTCTTCTCATTTCAGGCTCTGAAAATACAGCTGACAAGAACTTGGTGAGTTTCTTAATTCCTGGATGATTCTTTGACCTAATCTTGATTCCAGCCCTTCAACCATGACCTTGATATTCCATTGCTCTTAGAAAATGAGTTAGAACATGCACTAAAACATCCCATCTCCCATTTCATCTCCATATAATGCTCTGTTTGCTTCCCCTTCCTTATAGAGCCTTTGTTTTGTCTGTTTCTTCTGTTTCATATTTACCGCAAGATGGGCAAGAGGCGTTACAGGACTCGAAATGAAGGCTACAATTGGCTGCGGAGATGAAAGCTTTGGGCAAAAAATGAGACATGGGATCTGTAACTTCCTCCATCAGGAAAGAAGCCAGTTGGAGGAAAGAAGCCAGTTGGATGTAAATGGGTGTTCACAGTTAAACATAAGGCAGATGGTTCCATTGAGAGGTACAAGGCCAGATTGATAGCCAAAGGGTTCAGTCAAACCTATGGAGTTGATTACCAGGAAACTTTTGCCCCTGTAGCCAAGATGATACAATCAGAATTTTGTTGTCTTGTGCAACCAATCTTGATTGGGAATTACATCAATTTGATGTTAAAAACACTTTTCTACATGGTGATTTGAAAGAAGAGGTGTATATGGAGATTCCTCCGGATTTGATGATGACAAGACCAGAGGAAAAGTTTGCAAGCTGAAGAAGTCATTATATGGGCTGAACACCAAGGGCATGGTAATCACCAAGGGCATGGTTTGAAAGGTTTAGTAAAGCTATGCTTTCTTTTGGTCCTCGTAATTTTTCGGACGTTTTAAGTACCATATTGGCATACTTCCAGTAAATTTCCAAAATGGCCTCTGGTCCGGCCGGAGTATTTGCAGTCTTGGAAAACTGGCTTTTTGAGCCTCAAAATTTGAGTATTCACAGGAGTTTGAGATTAAGGATTTTGGAAAGTTGAGATATTTCCTTAGGATAGAAGTTGCTAGATCAGAAAAGGGATTTTTATTTCTCAAAGAAAGTACATCCTTGATCTCTTTAAAGAAACTAGTATGTTGAGATGTAAACCTGTAGACTCACCTATTAAAGCCAATCATAAGCTTTAAGTTGGAGTGGGAAGTCCAGTTGACGTTGGTAGGTATTAGAGATTGGTCGGGAACTTGATTTATCTTGCCCATACTAGACCAGATATTGCCTATGCTGTAAGTTTAGTGAGTCAGTACATGGATGACCCTCGGGAGTCTTACTTAGAAGCTGCGCATTGGATTCTAAGATATTTAAAATCAGCTCCAGTAATAATAGGCTATACAGATGCGGATTGGGCTGGTTCCCTTGATGACAGGAGATCAACCTCAGGTTATTGTGTTTTTGTTAGAGGAAACCTGGTTACATAGAGAAGCAAGAAGCAGGCTATTGTTGCAAGGTCTAGTGAAGAAGCTGAATATAGAGCTGTGGCATAGGGAATCAGTGAACTCCTATGGTTGCGCAGATTAATGAAAGAATTAAAGTTGGTTGAAACAACAAATGTGTCATTATTTTGTGATAGTAAAGCAGCCATCAGTATTATCAATAATCTAGTCCAGCATGATCAAACTAAGCATATAGAGATTGATTGTCACTTTATAAAAAAGAAGATAGTTGAAAGTTTTATAAGTGTCTCCTATATAGCTTCAAAAGAGCAACTAGCTGTTGTTTTCATAAAGGGTTTGAATAGCAAGTTGTTTCATCCTTTAGTTTGCACGTTGGGCATGTGTAATATCTATGCACCAACTTGAGGGGGAGTGTTACTGTTTCATCCTTTAGTTTTGCAAGTTGGGCAATGAGTAAATATTTATGCACCAACATGAGTAATATTTATGCACCAACTTGAGGGGGAGTATTGAAATCTTTGTAATTAAAGTCAATATTGTCTTTCCTAGTTTAGGTTTATTGTCTTTCCTAGTTTATGTTTATTTCTATTTAGATTACTTCCTATATTGGAACAATCTTGTGTATATATATAGTGGTGTAGAGATTGAATATATAACACACAATAAAAGGAAATACAAAATATTCTTTCAACAGATACCATGTGAAAACTCAGAAGAGAAGAACTGTTTGAAGCACATTGCTTGATTATTCCCTCAAGCTCTTGGGGATTAAATAGCATGAAGAATGATACAAGTAAGAAAGGAAATCAATACAAATAAATACAATCCTTAATTATAGCCCTAATCAAATCATATATAATCATCTAACAGATCATAGCAAATCATAATAGACATTAAACAGCCTGTACCCATAGAATATCACGCAAGTGATCAGTAGTTAGCAACAGTCATAAAGGGTGATTATTGATGTTTACTGAATTAATGCTATGTCATGTGCTTTCCTTTGATTATAATAAATTTGTCAAAGTTTGGAAAATGTTTTCATCTCTTGAGAAAAGAAAGTCATTTTTATTTAAAATGGTTTAGTTTTTCTTTAGTTAGGAAAATATTTTCCATGCATTAATTTTCTTAAACACCCTCTAACATTAGAAAATCTAAAAAATTTCCAAAAAAATATTTTCCAAAAACAAATGGAGCCTAAGATTAGAAAATGTTTTCCTTTCACTATAATAACTTATCCCTAGGGAAAAATTAATGTTACCACTATCTGCACCCCCCCCCCCCCCCCCCCCCAATCATTTGTACAATTATTCTTCCCCCCCCCCCCCACCCCCAATCATTTGTACAATTACTTCTTTTTGTTTTGAGATTATAATTGTCATGTTCTGTTGAAAATCTAGGGAAGCATGGAATGAAGAGCAAGAGGATTTTAAATTTATAAGCAACTTTGTTATACAAAGAGAAGTTCAAAATTAGAATTTCAAGGATTTTGAGTATGCTCCGTCAAAAGATTACTGAATTATAGATAGAAGGGGTACTCTCAAAGCTTAAGTGAAAAGAGGAAGCTCATCCAAATCGTAACAATAGAGATAGTTGAAATCCTTGATTCATAGCATTTCTCTTGTAAGGTTTACATAAACATATGAGGAACAAAATTTCAATTTTTACTCATTTATCTGCAGTGTTGCCTTATCCTATTAGTTTTCCATTGCCCAATGACACAAATTTTAGGCATTAAGACTATGTTTAGTTGTGTTGAATAATTTTCTTGTTTCACTTTTCTAATTTTTTTTTGTATTTGTTTTACCTACTTTCTGCTTTCGTGTAGAAAACTCGAAAACATGTTCATTTGTCCAATTTTCCGTTCTCCCTTCCTTGCATGTATTTACGAGATTTTCTTTTCCCTTTTTTTTATAAATTACACACTGCTATGTCAGAGTGTGATATGCCAACTAAGGTTGGGCACAAGACCGTAGGAATCTCAACCCTTACCCAAAAACCATTCCGTCCTGAATCCCATCTCAAAGGTAATTTCCTGGGGCTCAAACGGTTCTCTAATTAAACTGATAGTACCAAACCAAAATTCGGTTCTCGACCCATTTACTAAATATTTGAAATTATTTTATCAGATTATGCTTAATGCTCTCGTTGAAGGGCAAATAACAAACAACAAATAACCAATCATAAGTTTAACAATGGATTAATAATTGGTATTTTTATCAAACAAAATTCAAGAATTTGGGGTTGTTTGAAGAGCAGGTTTGGCAGTCTGGAAAGTAAAGATGAACGGTATCTTGCCTTCTGTTCAAGACCAATTTTGCATCAATGAAGTAGCAACAAATAATTTCCATAAAATAAAACACAGTGACATACAAATTAAGGCGATTCTATGGAGGTGTCTCTAGAATTTCAAACCCAGATAGTACTAACATCATTTCTCTCTTAAAGAACTATTGTCTTATTCCAAAAAAAAAAATCCGAAACTAAATCAAAAAAAAAAAAAAGGGAAAATTTCCCGAAAACTTAAATCAAAAAAAAAAAAAAGGGAAGAGAAAACCCACCTCAAAAGAAAAAAAAAAAAAAAGGGAAGAGAAAACCCACCTCAAAAGCGACGAGTGAGAAATTTCCGGCATTGGCGCCAGTCTTGGCGCCTCCTTTGCGCCAATTGAAGAGCCGAACAGCATCGGTTGACTCCCTGGACATTCCGAGAGCATCAACAAGGCAGGTGGCGAGCACCGACTCCTTGAGTCTGTAAGAGCCTCTCTCTCGGTCGAGCCTTGGAAGAATTAACCGAATCGCTGAGAAGTAATCGTCGGGCTTACAGAAAGTGTCAAGGAACTTGCGAAACTTGGAACGCTTCTTTGCTGGGTATTTGGTCTTCTGTATCCATTCGAACAAACTCACCATCACACTGAACTTGGTTTCATTCGTCATTTTTCTCTACTGTGTTCTGCTTTCCTATGCTCTCTCTATAGATTTGAATCGTTCCGCGGTTTTGTTCATTAATAGTAATTGAAAGGGAATAATTACATGTTTGGTACCTAAACTTTTTAAACTTTACTACTAGTAGATAAACGGAATACGCTTTCATATGGGTTGTAAACTTTTAAACTACAATTAGTGTTACTTCCGCTTAGTCTGAAATTCTTATATTCAAAAGTTCTTCTCTATAGTTTAATCTCTCACTAGTTTCATCAATTAAGATAATATCATTTGTGAATAACATGCACCAAGAAACATTATCTTGTATACTACTGATTAGCTCATTCATTATTAGGATAAATAAATATAGGCTCAAAGTAGATAGAACTCCTTTGTATCCTCTCCAACTATTTTTATACTAGTGACTGTATTTTTTTTTACAGATTTCTAATGGCAAAAATCCTCTAGGACCCCGTTAATAATGTCAACTTGGCCAATAGAAGCTTCTGCTAAGAGAATAAGATCATCAGCAAAAAAAAAGATGAGATATAGGAGGTCCATTATCAGACAACCTTGCTGGTTTCCAAATACCCTGATTAGTCTCCTTGCCAATAGAGTAAACACATGACAAATAAATAGGACTTAAGGGATCACCCTGACACCCAAGATGGATAAAAAATCTCAGAACTGCCTCCATTTCAATCCACTTGCATATATAGAACATGAAGTAACACACCTGATGATTGCCGAAATGAAATTGACAGGCAACCCCATGTCAACCATGGTATCATAAAGAAACTCTCATTGTGCTCTGTCATTTGCTTTCTCAAGATCTACTTTTATTGCATGAGCCCTTTACCAGTTATTTTGTTGCTCATGGAGTGAATAATTTTCTGGGCTTGACAATGTTATTTGTAATATGTCTACTGGTAGGGCGTATAAATTGGTTTGGAATATAACATTCCAAATCGAATTTCAATTTAAAACGGAATTTTGAAATATGAAATTTAAAGTGAAATGTATTTTTTGGGAATATTGGTACGTGCAATATGGAATAGAAAACTAGTAGAAAATTTAGTATTTGGATCCGTATACAGAACTTTTATTTTTTTTCATTTTTAGTTTTGATTATATATTTTAATAATAAAATATTAAACTTGAGTAAAATATTTTCAAAATTTAATATTAAAAAAACTCTTATTTATATTCTAAAAAGTATATAGTTTAATGAAATACTCTTTTTTTTTTTTTTTAACTTCTTAATTTATATTCTAAAAGTATATAGGTTTAATGAAATTACTCTTTTTTTTTTTTTTTTATATTTTTTTTTTTTTTTTTATATAGTCACGAGATTTAATTCCCTCGAACTCTAACCATAAAGGGTTTTAACCCTCTTAGCAAAGTGCGCTTTTCCGAATCGAATTTGTGTTGATAATGAAATACTTTAATTATAATATTCATTCGTATAGGATTGAAAATCTGAAATAACCGGAAAATTTAATTTCATAAGTTTTTGAATTAAATTTAATTGAGAATAATTTTAAATGATGTTAAAATTTATTATCTCAAATTGAACCATGATTAAATCAAAATCCATCCCTGAACCGTCGAGAAACAGACTCAAATCATTAAAAACCAAAGAAAAATCTGATTCAGACCAAACCAAGTTAGAATGGACCGAACCAGAGGTCATAACCAATCAGGAGGAGAGAGAAAATCTCATCTTCCTCCCCATTTTCCTTCTCACGTCGCCGACTTCACCTCCTCCTCCCCTTTCCATTTTCCGGCCAAAATGCCATGGAATCGAGCGAATCAAGACTCTAAAATCTTCTACTTGTCGCAAGGAATTTGATTCAAGCCTTGGTTTGCGCGATTTGGGCTTGGATCGAGAGGAAACGACGTTGAAACGTTCGACACCGTATTCCGTTCGCCAGCGAGTTCTTGCCGTTTCCGGCCACCATACACGCTGAGAATGGGTCCAATCAATTCCTTATTGCCTCGCAAGCATTTCCCCTCTATCGAATGGAGGTTTCCTGTGGAGAATGATGAAGCCAACATGATCGGTGGCTCCTTTGGCGGCTGTCGAGGCTTGTTCCGGCCAAACGGACCACTGAATTAACCAACGGACATTAGCTTCGAGTGAGGTTTCCTGTGGAGAATGATGAAGCCAACATGATCGGTGGCTCCTTTGGCGGCTGTCGAGGCTTGTTCCGGCCAAACGGACCACTGAATTAACCAACGGACATTAGCTTCGAGTTCCCCGTGAAATTCGAGCAAGAGGTTGTAAGGTTTCTCAAATCCGGTGAGGCTCTCCGTGGCGGCGGCAGTCCCGTGACCGGCCGGCAAGGCTCCGACGGGACCTTGAGAGGCAGAATTTCATCCTCCTGATCGCGATTCTGCAATTGGTGAGCTCTAAGTTTCGATATTATATTTTCTTGCTATATTCATTTAGAACCCGTTGGCTTGACTTGGTTATAGATTGTTTAATTACATAGAATCATATTCAATGAGCATAGTTAGCGGTCGTTAAGTTTCGATATATATAATTATAGGAAACTTAATCAAGATAATTGGGCACTGAACAATCATATAATGTGAATTCTAAAAATGAAAGTAAAACATTAAATTTTGAATTCCTTATTTTTAAATTGGTATTGAACTATAAATTGGGACCTTTTGTTGTGACAAATAATATTATATTATATTCATCATTTATAAGTGTAAATATAAAACAATTATAGGATTTAAATTACTTACCTTAAAACGCAGTAGAAGTCAACAAACTTGTTAGTATAAGAGCCATAGTGTAATGATGCAATGGAACAACTAATGGCATATTCCAAAACTGTGGTATGGTGATAAAGCGGCTGCTAGTAAAGTAATTAAGCACGCAAAGTATTAAGTGAATTGGGTACAAAGGCGATGATGATGCTTATGCGGTAAATGAAATGTATTTATGTATTTATGTAATTAAGTTGACAGATGATGAGAAATGTATTTATGTGTGGTCATTATAATTGTATTTAGAAAATGAAGTTGTATGAAATGGATGATGGGAATTGACCGATGATTGCTTGCCCCATGAATGGATTGTGTTGAAATATATGTGTTTTATTGTTTAAATGTGAAAAATTGAAAATATGGGACTAATCCGGTTTTAGGGAGATGCTGCCGTATTTTTGGTAGAACATTTATCAAGGACTAAACTAACTACACTAATAATAACAGCTAATTACCAATACCAACAATATTGCTATTATTATTAGAAAATCTAGTTAGTAAGTCAAGTGATAGAATTAGAGAGTTATAAAATAGATGAATTAATAAGCTAATATAAAAGATTTGTTCTTGAGAAATAAAATAGAAAATAGAATATAAAATAGGAACCTAATATTACAATAATCAAATATTAACAAAATATTAATAATTAAGTATTATATTAAAATTATATATAAATAAATACAAATAAAAATAATAATATTAATAATTAATAATAATTAATAATAAGAAAGATTTAAATAGATCACTTAGAACTAAGAGGACTTATGCTAATAGCAAGTGGCTCCCATTAATGATAAAATTTGTTTCTAATTCTTTCCTTAGATATGATTGCGAGTCTCGAGGAACCAAATGTTGCATAGCAGAATGCTTGGAATATGGAGCATAGCTTCCGGCTACATCGTAAAGCAGTGAATAGTATTGGATAATTTATTGCCAATTGCATATGCATACACGGATAAATGTCATGCATTCATACATGATAGATAAATGTCATCTAGGTATAGATGCATTATTTAAAGAATTGTTATTTGTGTTGAATTACTTGTTGCTATTGGATATTGCTTGATTAGTTGTGATGTGCTACAAGTATGCTTTGGTTGTATGGAATGAAGTAGGTCACTATTGGATTTGTGAGGGCAGTCTATGATACCGTCGGCCATGTATGGAGAGATCGGTGCCCCCGTGTGCATCTGATGAAATATGATATGGAAAATCACAAGGCGACCTTCTTTTGGTATAGAAAAGAAAAGAGAGTATAAAAAAAACAAGGGCGACCTTATTCTTTTGGTATTAGAAAGAAGAAAGGAGTATAAAAAAAATGAGGAGGGCTTAGCTCTAGGAGGTTGGACAAAGCTCGGACCATGTATGTAGGAATCGGCTCCCTTGTGCACACGTGCTTACATTGAGCAGGGCAGGCCATGTGTTATGAGGGACGGCTCGTCGAGCAGTTTAGTGACGCCACTACCGATTTCTCCACTTGATGTGATTTATGTGAAAGTGTTAATATTTTAGAGAGATCGATGTTTATTGTGCCATTTGCATGATTGTACTGTATGATTTACTATACACTAGTCGCACATGACTAGATTGAAATTAAAATACGCAATTTGTGTGATTATTGGGGATGAGAAGGTTATCTTAATCTCTAATTTCTGTATCAGATGCACTTCACTGTGAATTCAGGCACTTCACCTTTACCTTTAATAGAGAGTATAAAAAAAATGAGAGGGCTAGTCTAGGGAGGTTGAGACCAGTCGACCATGTATGTGGAATCGGCTCCCTGGTGCACACGTGATGAGAGGGCAGGCCATGTGTGAGGACGGCTCGTCGAGAGTTTTAGTGACGCCACTAACCGATCTCCACTTGATGTGATTATGTGAAAGTGTTAATATTTGTGTTTGATGTTATTGTGCCATTTGCATGATTGACTGTATGATTATATAACTAGTCGAATGACTAGATTGAATTAAATACGCATTTGTGTGATTATGTGGGATGAGAAGGTTATCTAATCGCACTCACTGAATTCAGGCACTCACCTTTACCTTAATATTTTTTTTTTTCAAGTTACAAGTCTTCCAATATCTTATTGTCTTCTGCCATTAGATGTCTAGAAGATACCTCGATACATGTTTTGAAATTTTAAGTTCTTAGACTGTTTCTAATTATGGTAGTCATGTATAATGAATTTAGAAAATTTTTGATGTATTACTCATTAAGGTTTCTATTATGTAAAATCTTACTATGGCCTAGAGAACTTTGGAAATTGATTTACTATTGAATATGGCGAATATAGGCCAAGCGAGCCTAAGACTTATGATATTTGACTGTTGATAATATTGGCCTGAGGCCATTTCGGTTGAATGATGAAATTTTATTTGGTATATCTTTAGCTTACTATGGGCTTCCATGGCTTTAAATCTATCTAGGTTTTAGTGCCAGTCGTCTGATCCAAGGTAATAGATCGTGACAATATCCGAGAGTCAAAATAAAAAAACAAAGCATGCTTCATAGAGTCACAATTTGCTCGTTTATTATCAATCTTCTTGAGTCTTGTAAAGTGATGAGGAAAAAATATCATCCTTTTTTCTTTTTTTGCTTGACAAGAAAATTTCTTTGATCAACTTTGAAAAATTTCTAAACTTTTTTATATGAATTGCTCTCTTAATCTAATTTCCGCTTTTAATTCTTATTTCTCTTTCTAATTTCTTGTTTTGACTTTTATTATATCCATTTTATTGTCACACGAACTTTATATGTTACTTTATTAGTAATTAAATGGAAAGTTGTCAAAGTGAAAGTTTATATATCCGCATTCCTCATCAATAAGCTTGAGTTTATTGTCTTATTGCAATTTAAATGTAGGTTTTTTTTTATCTAATTTTAAATAATTGAATATTTTTTATTAAATTTAAAATTTTATTTCTTAAAATATATTATAATATAATAGATTTGCATTTACAATTTAGAAATGTGAAATTATTGAATTTCAAACCAAATTTTCATAAAATAGTATGGCATGAAGTTTAAAATGTCAAAATATATTTAGAATGGAATGAAATGAAAATTTAAATTCTAAAATATTTTGGAATGAAATTGAAATGAGGCTATTTCATTCCATTTCGTCTGAATTATACCTCTATTTACCAGAAATGAAGCTAGTCTGAGTAGGACTGATAATGTGAGGCAAAATATTTTTTAATCTATTTGCTAAGGCCTTTGTAACAATTTTGTAAAATACGTTACAAAGACTAATTGAGCGAACTTAAGAGATAGAGGGCTCGGTACCTTTGGAATAATAACAAGCGAAGTAGAATTCATATTTGTACGCATTGGCTTGCCTCCAAAAATTTATGGGCTTCTTCACAGATGAAATGAAAATGACTTTCGTGCAATACAATTATGATTTTAGCTGTTGCAAGTCCATTATGAGAATTTACTTCTATTCATTAATATAAAAATGTGAATTTATTCTCAAACAAAAAATCATACTTTAACGATTGTTTTTGTGTGTAAACCATGGTATCCAGATCTCATTAGCAGGGACAGCCTAATCCGGTTCGGGGTTCAGTCACAGTTTAATAGATTTTTTTTGAATATAATATATTAAGATTTCATTAAAAAATTTTAAATCAATACAAATAATACAGAGATGATATAATCCTTCTCCTGAAGAGCAGACATAGAACAAAAACTATTATAACTAAAATAATTTTTTTAAAAAATTATTTTTCTCTAATCTAATAAGAAATCCTAATGAAAATATTGATGTGAACTTGAAAAAAACTAATAGATTTTCAAAAGTGGCTGGTTAGATAATCCCGGAATCTTCTATATATAGTCTAATTATCCATGAACTAGTCGCTTATAACGAATACAGAGGATTAGAACCACTAAATCCAATGGAGAAGCATGCCGCACTATCAGGCTCCAAAATATAAAAATCATGGAAAAACATGCCGCACTACCAAGCTTCAAAAGATAAAGATCACCGTGTAGCTGAAACATTCTCCACAAATTGCACACCTGTCCAAATAAAACCAAACAAATGCAAAAAATACAACAAATACTCCACATAAAATGGAGAGATCATAAACTCTACACAACATAGAAATAAAATACAAACAATAGTAAAAACATAAATAACATAAATCTATGCTAAAATAAACATATATCTATAATTTATTTAACAAAAAAACATAAAAGTTTGCAACAAAACTAAAAATATGAGGAGCGATTATCACAAGTGACAAAAATCAGTCTCTACCCGTATGTACATGTTTAATTTTTGTGTTTCAATAGAGAAAAGGGAAAAAAAAAATCTTTATGGAGAAAGGGGGAGAGAGAAAAAGTCCGCGGTTTATGAGAATGGTGTTATATCAATTAATATAGTTTAACGGATTTAGGATATACTTTTACCATGAATTAAATTTTAAAATAAATTTAAGAGTATAGTTATAATTGGACCGGATTCGATAGGTTAACAGACCGGCCGTGATCCATCTACCCGCTCCTTCGGCCAGGTCAACAGAAGAATTTACTAGCTTAATAAATTGAGCCTTTTTAACTTTATAAGAAAAATCCTACGACTTCTTCAATTTTAGGACAGCCTATTGCATACTTTAATTATTATAATCATGCATACTGAACATTTCATCTTATAAAATCATACTTGATAAAAATGATTTTACACAATTTTTAAATATAGACTATGTTTAATAAGTAAAACACTTCAGACATCTTTTAACACAAATGATTAAACAATATCTTTTATATTCTTTAACCATCTGATAAATATTCATTAAATATTTGTAAATTGAATTATCCAATAGGTACAACTTTACGAATTGAAGTATTGAATGCATGTACTTTTACAAGTTGAAAAATTAAGAGGTGAACGTCCGGCTACGCTTATCTTATAAAATTCATGTCCCAATTCATCTATAATCAACTGTATACAGGATGCAAATCGGAAAATAAATCTAACCCACCCTCTCTCAGTTGGCGAAAATTCACTCTCCATTAAGTCAACTTCCTAGCAATTCACCTATATTTCTTATACAAGGTATATATATTTGAGTCAGTTGAGTAATCAAATAGCATGCTTCAAATTGTGAAGTTTACGTTTCTAATAACTATAGTTAAACAACAAACCAAAATAACAATATGTTGAGAAATAAAACAAAAGCAAAGTACAAGATCGGATCCGACTAGATGGAAGGCTAGAAAGAAATCTATGGGACCAAAAGGATAATTACCAAAATTTGTCTGGCCTACTACTAGGAGGAAAAACTTTGGGCATCTTTATAAGAATAAATAGAAAACAGCATCAGCTATTCTATACAACAAAAGCAAAAAAATCACCATCCATACTTGGCTTGCGTTTGAGCTTTCGTGAGAAACCCTTTGGCACGCCTTTCTGTCAGTTCCATCTCTTTCTGCTTCATATCGAAGTACAACGAGCCAATCTGATGCTTCCTCTTGTGAAGCTTTGATGGCTTCCCCTTGGTAGAAGTAGGCTTCAAAAAAAAAAAAAAAAAAAAAAAAAAAAATGAAGCTCTTGATGGCTTCCCCTTTTGGTAGAAGTAGCTTCAAAAAAAAAAAAAAAAAAAAAAAAAAAAAAAACAAACAATGCATCCTATTATTCCACAAACGAATGAAATAGAAACACATAACCTAATAAATTTAGCGTATTTGCGAGATGCGTTCAAAATTCATCCCTGGGATGTTCCACAATCTTTTGATTAATTTTTGCGTAGGCGCCCCCATGACGAATTATGTTCCTTTATATCAAGTGCTAGAAAATTATCACTTTATCAAGGATACACCCTGCCTGCACCTATACAATTGACCAAAAGAGTTAGCAGAGCAATACGAATATGCGCTTTTAATAACCTTGGATACTAAAAAAAAAAAAAAAAAAAAAAAAAAAAAAACAACAATGATCATATTATTCCACAACGAATGAAATAGAACACATAACTAATAAATTTAGCTATTTCGAGATGGTTCAAATCATCCTAGGGGTTCAACAATCTTTTGATAATTTTGCGTAGGCCATGACGAATTATGTTCCTTATATCAAGCCTTAGTAAAATTATACTTTATCAAGGATACACCCTGCCTGCATATACAAATGACAAGAGTTAGCAGAGCAAGACGAATTGGCTTTTAAACCTTTACAGCAGTGAAGCTTCCAACAATCGGCCTTGTATCTTCTTCTGCCTTTTTATTCATGGTGAATAAACAACTACATGTTCCACCAATTTCCTTCCAATATTTTGTTCTAGAAACATTAGGTATATGTTCTTCCAAAATAAGAAAATGTAATTTTCATAATAATAGGCTCAAGAAGACTCTACAAGTCTACAGAACGCAAATGTTAAAGTAGAAGTATATGAGAAAAAAAAAAAAAAAGTAGAAGCTGAAAGAAAATAAAGAATTCAGAGAACATATCAATATCAAAACAATCCAAACTGCAACAAAAATATACCTCATAGGAAGGCCCAAAAGCAATTCCAGTTAACTTGACCTGGTCCTCCCTTGGCCGATTCTTTGTCAACTCATCCTGCTTCACCTCAATGACTTCTGTAACAATATCCTTCCTTCCTCTCTTCCCTGGCACTCTCAAAGCACTCTCACTTGGTCCTGTTCTCTCGGGGACCGCTGCTGCCAATTCATCACTCCAAGTATTCCCAAATTGCTGATAATCATTGTAAGTCCCATAGCTGGTATAATTCTCGTAACTCCCATAACTAGATCCATCATCCCCGGCGTTAACTTTTTGACCAATGTCTTGACTAATTCCTGATTCATAACTACCATAATTTAAATTACTCCCTCCATTTTTATCAGGACCTGATTCATAGCTCAAAGAAGTACCATCGTAACTCCCATAATTCCCCATAGTTTGATCATTCTCTGCCCCAAAACTGCCGGAACTTGAGGTAGGTGTTTTAGTTTCAACGATGGATCTCCTTCCAGATCCTGTAGCTGATGGAAGAACACCCAATGTTGAGGAGTTCTTGGGGGCAGGAATGCTGGACAAGAATGACTTTACAGATGAAGATTGTGGTAAAGCTTCAGATTCCTTGCGCCATTTTTTCTCCATTTCTCCCTCATCTTCATCATCTTCATCATCCAAATCAGAGGGTTTTACATAAGTGAGATTAATGGGGGGCTTGAATTGGACAACCCTTTTGGGAGTAGGGTCCAAGGATGAGACACTTGAGATTGGTTGTTGTGGGGCTTGGGTTTTAGGTTGAGGGAGGAAAGAGAAAAGAGAAGAGGATTTGGAGGAGCGTTTTGGATCATCTTCATCTTCCTCAATGTTTTTATTGTTACCATGATTATCATGGTGCACTACACATGTAGACAGTTGATGTTGAGGTTGGGGAATGGCAGAGAACAACAAAGACGATTTAGGCTGTGGGAGGGAAGAGAAATGAGATGCAGATGAGGTTATTTTAGGGTAAGAGATGGAGTTTTGGTGTTGGTTTTCTTCTTCTTCATCTGAAGAGGCATAGTTAGCTAGCAAGGAGTCCATAACACTGATAATAATAGGATGTACAATGTGGAGGATAGTTAGGCTATTTGCTATTGCAAAGTTGTTAGACTTGGATCAAATTTGTGGGAGTCTGGAGACAGTTTGGGCTCCTTCAAAGAAAGAAAAGAAGATGAGAATGAATTCAATTGCATCCCAATTACATGATTTGCATATAACAAATCATAATAACATTTTTCAGAAATTACAAGTCCATTCCATGAAGATGGAAAACGAGAAATAATTTAATGATGAAAATACCTTTAATTGGTTCCGAAGTTACAATTATCCTTTATATCATGTTTTATCTAGCAAGAAAATAAATTACATTCACTTGCTGAAAAAGAGTCCTTATGGACACTAACTAAATACAAACATTAAATAAGCATGAACAAGAATCCAATGATAACATATTTTTTAGAAGCAAAACATTATTTTATCAACACACTCATCTTTGAATAATATGTTTTGTTTTAGTCTTAGGCTATATTTGGAAGGACGTAATATAATGTAATCAAGATTGGAAAGGAATGAAATATGTAATACAATGAAACACAATTAACATTCCATTTCTATGTTTGGTTGCAATCAAAAAATAATTATGAAATGCAATTATCAATACATTCCGCTCCATTACTATGTTTGTTTTAAGGGAAAGTACATTTTTCGTTCTTGAGGTTTTACAAAATTAATTAACTCATCCCCGTATTTTGGACCATTACTCTAGTCCCCAAAAGTTTAGTTCCATCTTATTAAATGGTCCTTCCGTCCGCAATCAGAGGTTTTCTCCATCAAATGAGTCTAAAAAGCACGAGAGAGGAGAGATACATATTTTAAAATGACAACTGTTGCCTTTGACGAGATGAGACAAAAAGATATTTCAATGAAAAGACGAAATTACCCCTTATAAAGATTAATTTTTATTCTTTTCTTTTTATTTTATATTTCTTGCCTTCCATCTCCAATCCCACTCCATATCTAATAATCATCAACACACTAGAACTTTGCATTATCTGTCACAGACCAAGGCAAAAATCATCCTTGTTAATACATAGGAATAGTTGTAGGGAGAAAGCACCTTCCCAGATCCTAAAAACACAATAATAATTAGGTCATGTCGCTGGAATATGTTCCTAACACAAAAATCAAACGGGTTAAGATTGAGTCTAAACGGGTTCGTGTCATAAGTAAGTGACTCATATATGATAGAAGTTTGAACATGTCGTGTCACAGGTTGACTCGCGTAACTCGTCTAAGCCGTTTAATTAAGGGTAAAATGGCAATCTTATATATATCAAACAGATTATACGGATTATACGTGTTATAACATGTCGTATTCATGTCCCACGTTTAATTTTCATCTCGTTTCAATATTTGACACTCAGGCAGAATCTTAGTGGTCAAATCAGAATCCTCACTTGCGGATGTGCAGTGGTGGTGGAAGAAGGAGATGGAGAACCTATGACGAGAATTGAAAGTGAGTTTAGAGAAACCGAAAATTTCAGGAGTGAAAAGAGCGTGTAGTATTTAGAGATGATGTCAAATGGGATTTAAAAAAGAGAGGGAGGATAGTGGTGCGGATTCTGGAAAGTGGAATCCATCTCTTTGATGCGCTTCATACCCTCGAAAAATCATGAATGTTTCGAGAAGGGATTTTAGATTTTCAAATTAAAGGTGAAGAGAATTATAGCATGCAAAAATTCCAAGCTTTATGTCAAAGCAAAGCAAAGAGAGAAGAGTTTTGTCTTTTAGCTCTATGGCATTTTTGACTTTTTGCCTCATTTAACGGAAAAAACCTCTGATTTTGGATTGAATGACCATTTAATGGGAGAATCCAAACCTCGGGGACTAAATATCTAATAGTAAAAAATATAGAGATAAGTTAATTAATTTTGTAAAACCTCATGGACGAAACAAATATTTTCACTTGTTTTAATTAACGATGTAAATGACTAGTCCACCACAATCACCGATCACCACCACCTCCATTCAACCACTCCCACCACTAGTACCGCCGCCACCGCCGCCGCCGCCACCGCCGCCGCCGCCACCATCGCCATCGCCATCCCACCACCATAGAAGTCCATATACTTATTGACATATTTTTGAAAATAGACAGACATAATTAATGAAAAATGTAAAAAAGCAAATCCGTCAATGAGAAGTCAAGACCTATTCATGCTCAGTTGTGCTTATTATTGCCATTGCTGACAGCACAACATGAAAGACATAAATTACTTCAGTCAAATTAGAAAAGAAAATTAAAAAGGAGACATACATATAGATAATCAGTTCACAAAGTTAGCAATAATTGAATAAAAGACAGTAATTATATAAAGTAAAACATCACATAAGTTAGCAATAAATTTTGTTTGAAGTATTCTGCTATGTGTTGTTTTAAATTGATCTTAATGCTAAAACTAGCTTAAGGAAATTATGAAGCAAAAAGAGTAGCAATTTCGTAATCAAATAACCACAAATAGGACATAGAGCTTCTACAGCAACATTGAAGGAAAAACATCTTGATTTGATAAAACAACTTTAGATTGGACTCCCCAAAAAGAAGTTAGATTTTGCAGTTTTGCTTTCTTTAATACCGTTCAACCAGTATCTACTAACTGAGTTGCAAATGCAATCATAACGATAGAAGCTTTAGGAACAGGACTACAAGCATATCAAAACTAAAATAGATGGACGAATAAAGGTTGCTATCAGTCTTCTCTGGGCAATATTTGGATGTCCTATTTCTTCACAATACTAGCATGAGAATAAAACAATTGAAAGCTAAAAGAAAGGACAAAAAATATCACCGGAAATGATGGATCCTGCACTGCTATCGTCAGGCTGGAACCCAAAAGCAGCTGTAATTATGTAAAGAAATCATATTTTAGTATTTAAGCACGCGGAGGTTAATGAAAATCTACAGCTTATTTCCAGTTGTAGGTTGGAGGATATAAAACTTATCAAATATAAAGGCCAATATAGAAGAAGAAAAGGTTAAATAATTAGATACCTGAAATCGAGCAATATCACACTGTGAACCTTCTCATATAAAAGCTTCTGTGTCTTTTACCTGCAATCATTATAAAGACTAATGCAATCATTATATACTCTTGAAAATCTTTTATGCAATCAAGCATTGTTATAATGGTGTTGCAACCAATGGACTTGGTCAATCTCAAAATCAACTGAATAAAAAAAATAAGCCTTTTTTTGATATATTTGTTACTATCCAATCCTGCTGCCAATTTTTTGCAGGTTCAAAGCAAGACAAGCCAAATTGACTAGAGGTGTTACAGCCAGATGATATTTAAAAAGTAAATTACCAACACCTTGACAAAATACATAAAATAAACAATAAGGAGACAACCTCATTTTATATTAAATCAAACTGATGAATGTATTATAACTACAAATAAAGTAGCACAAAAATTAAATACAATTCTGAAAGGCACAAGAGACCATTTCATTTCAAGAAACAGTGGAAGAAGTAATGCAATAAGCATAACAAGAGAATTACTAGAACCCATGACAGATTATAAATTGAATATCAGAAGATAGAGTAAGTGAAAGCAATTGAAAGGACAGGATTTGCCTACAACTCCTTGAGTAAGCAAATAAAAATTCAGCCTCATGGTCAGTCCCTCATTAAATAAAAAAGTGACAAACAGCTAACCAATGCTGCCAGGCCTATTCCTATATTTCCAAATCAATTTTCCTTTCTAAACGGTTAATGTTGCCATGTTGTGTAAACAGAGACAAAACCCAATAAATTAATTCTTTTCAATCCAAGGCTTGTTAAATTTGGTAATGATCACATAATTTAGATTCAGATTATAAATATTCATTTCTTTTTTCTTTTTTTTTTTTCAATTATGAATCTCATAATCCCAGTGTAGATAGTTTATCCTAGAGTACATAGGAGGCATTTCAAATAGAACTGTTACACCAAATAATTAATCAATTAATTGCCTAACCAATTCTTTCTCCTAATGTAGCAAACTCTTTTTTGGCAGTTTATCAAATATACACTTAAACTATTTACATTTATTTTTCTTTCATTTGCATATCTCATCAAGAATTCAATTTACAACTTTGTTTGCATCATATCACAGCAATTATTCAAGTTGAATAGTTACACTGGCTGCTACCATTTCAAAGTTCCTTAATTCCTCTACCAAATTCTGCGTTAAACTAAATAGTTTATTCGTTTCTATATGGAATTTCAGTTTATACCTCAATTAAGAAACAATAGCAAAGTTTCTAATTAGCATCTATAATACATAAGCTAATTGTTTCATTTTCCATCAAAGTTTTAAAGTATAATATCAATCTCCTTCACATTACATCAAGAACACAAGCTAACGGCTAAAATAGTTGCTGTCATACTAAAAATTGCAATAGAAGCAATAATCCATCAAGAATTTCAATTTACAACTTTGTTTGCATTTCATATCACAGCCAATTATTCAAGTTGAATTAGTAACAACTGGCTGCTACCATTTCAAGTTCCTTAATTCCTCTACCAAATTCTGCGTTAGACTAAATGTTTATTCCGTTTTCTATATGGAAGTTTCAGTTTTATACCTCAATTAAGAAAACCAATAAGCAACGTTTTCTAAATTAGCATCTATAATAAATAAAGCTAATTGTTTCATTTTCCATCAAGTTTTAAAGTATTAATATCAAATTCTCCTTCACATTACCAAATTGTTTCATTTTCCATCAAAGTTTTAAAGTATAATATCAATCTCCTTCACATTACATCAAGAACACAAGCTAACGGCTAAAATAGTTGCTGTCATACTAAAAATTGCAATAGAAGCAATAATCTACCTATTTCAATACATTTATCAATTATATTTGCGATAAGAATTCAATTCATATATCAACTAGAAGGTAAAGATCAAAATTTCCATCAACAGTTAGCATATAATATATATCCTATATAACTTATCTAAAACTCAGATTGCAGCTTACAATAACAATTTTTAGCAACACTTTCTAAGCTAATCTGGGTAAACAGTAGCTAGGGATTTCAATTTCTACACTAACTCAATTTATGCCTAAATTCCTTCAACTAAGATTAAAGAACTCATGAAATAAACCTAAGAGGGTCGAAATATGGCTTACACAGCTGTAAAATATGTCGGAAATCGAAATTTTCCGGTTAGGAAGATCGGCAGCGGCTCCTTTGTTCAAATTCCGATTCTGTCGAAGCAAGCTTGGCCTGAAAAGAGCGCAGCGGAGAATGGAGAAGGTAGCGATCGGAGAAGGGGGTTGGAGTCGACCGGTTGCGCTTGAGTCGCCGGAAAATCGAGAGAATGAGAGGGTGAGGCCGTTTCCGATCGGAAGAGAATACGCAGCTCTTCTCTTCGTTGCTGTGCTATAACCGACTAGAAGTAGGGAGGGAGAGTTGTCGGAGCAGACTGGTGACGAGAAGGAGGTCCGGATGGTCGGACATGAGCCCAGGCGACCGGAAAATCGCAGGAGGGGTAGGAGAGGCTGTCACACAAGCGGGTTGGGAGAAAGAGAAAAATTAAGACGTAAAGGGGATTTTTGTTTTTTAGTTTTCTAGAGATTTCTAATTGGTTAGGGCTGTTTGGGTTTGATTCTAGCCCGGTTCGGCTCAAATCATGAATTTTGCTTGGTTTTTCAATTGGCTTGGGGATTTTTAATGAGTTCATATTGATTAAAAGGTTTGGTTTAATAAATATAAAATGTATTTACCTTAAGTTTTATTAAATAAATTCATAAGGCATTAGTTCATTTATTTTAAATATATTAATGTTCTAAAATATCATTGGTTTAGAATTAATATTTAAATTTGTAAATGAGAAATTTTTGAAAATAAAATTCTGAGTTGTTTCAGAATTATAATACACAATTTTTTTTTTATTTCATATAAATGATGATTAAGAATTTTAACTTTTAAATTTTTATAACTTAAATTTAGATATTTTTATTATTATATTGAATTAACATTGTATAACTCTATATTAAAATATAATATTTAATTTAAATGACAAACAACATAATAAAATTGAGTAATTATACCTTCTCAAAAAAAATTGAGTAATTATAATTATATATTGTGTTAATATTTATGATTTAAAAAACAACCATATATTTATAAATTATAATTCTATCATTACTTTTTTATTATAAAATTATAGATTTGTAAAAAAATAAGATCAATTGGTTTAGTCAAATTTTTCAAAATGCTGGATTTAACCTCGTTTAGGTTATACTTAAAATAAGTCATTAATGTTATTAAAAATAATAGTACAAGGGCTTCGTATAGACAAATAAAATTTTAAGGGCTCAATAATTAAAAATGCAAAGTTAAAGGGTTTGTTGATGTGTTTTGCTAATTTTTAATTTTAAAATAACAAAACTGTTCATTTTCTTTTTTCAATAATTAATAACTCATAATATATTTAATTTAAAAATATTTAATATTCTATTTCAGATTTTAAGATTTTCTTTTCTCTTTTAACTTAATGTTTTAGAGGTCAATTGTTTATTAATTTAGTGAATTGATATGAACTTATCAAGTTTTTAATCCAAATGATAAATTTAAGAATAAACCTCAATTTATGGCCAGAACTTGTGACCTTACGAAAAACAAAAGGTCATGTTTTACCTTTCGGACCAAATAGCACCCAAATTTATACTAAACGTTCTAATTTCAACCTAGTTTAGAGGAGATCAAAGTACGTGAACTTCATTCATCTTTCAGAGCGATTGAATTATAAAATTAAGAGTTATCGAGTTCAATTGGCAGCATGGAAAGAAACGAAAAACTAAGTGCGGCAAAAAAAAAACCTATTATTCTAGTTAATCTAGGGTTTATGAGCATAATTAGATTGGAATATTAAATACAAAAAAAAAAAAAAAAAAAGTGCGGGCAAAAAAAAAACCATATTATTCTAGTTTAATCTAGGGTTTTATGAGCATAATTTAGATTGGAATATTAAATACAAAAAAAAAAAAAAAAAAATATTCAAAAAAAAAAAAAAAATAGTTCGATATTGAGAGAAATCAACTGGCAAAGGCTGAGTGCATAGAAAAAACACTGGTTGTAGATTAGAGTGACTGAGTTGCTTCTGTTTCAAGTAAGTTTCAGCCTTATTTAAACAATTTGTTGTTTAGGTTATTTTATTAAATATAATATGAACATATTTATTGTTGTTAGTATTTAATTGTTAAATAGTTTTTTTTTTTTTTTGGTTTTTAATATGTTGTTAATTTGAAAATCAATGATGGTTGTAGTGTGAATTGATAAAATATTGCTTTTATTTGTAAAAATGGCTCCATCTATGACATTCTGACTTGGCAAAGTGATCCTAAGAGGGCGGGTAGAGTTAAGGACCTGGCAAGCTTCTAAGATGACAGACTAACTATGAGTAGTGGAATGCTGGACATAGGAATGAATCGAATCATATATCAAAAAGGGGGAAACTAATCATTAGCAGCGCCTTTTGGTGGAATGGCTGGAGAGTTGGAAGAACTCCAATGTTAAGTGTGCTCGCTTAACATAATTCTTATGATGGGTGACCTTTTGAGAAGTTTTCCATTTCGCCTGTGGGATAAAACCGTGCGGATCCTACCAATTCAGTATGGGATGGATTCGGCTTGATCTAAAACGGACAATTCCTCTGGTGGTTAGAGTCGGGCGTGACAGTTGGTATCAGAGCCAAACCCCCTCCAGTAGATGTATGGTTCGAGAACGAACCACGCCCCTCCAGTAGATGTATGGTTCGAGAACGAACCACGCGGAAACCGGTGGGCCCTGTGACATCCCGACCTAAGCAAAGTGATCCTAAAGAGAGCGGGTAGAGTTAAGGTCCTGGCAAGCTTCTGGATGGCAGGCTAAGCGTGCTGGCTTAAATAGAAATCCTAGAATGGGTGAACCTCATTGGGAAGTGTTTCCATTTCACCTGCGGGACAAAAACCGTGCGGATCCTGCCAATCCCCATTTCACCTGCGGGACAAAACCGTGCGGATCCTGCCAATCCAGTATAGGATGGATTCGGCTTGATCCAAAGCGAATAATTCCTCTGGTGATTAGAGTCGGGCGTGACATCAACAATCAGAGAGAGAGAGAAAGAAAGGAAGGCTAAGCGACGCTGGAGGGAGAAGAAGGTTTCAAACTGGTTTACGAGTTCGATTAAGCAATAATAAAATATTTTATTATATAATCTCATTGGTTGATATTAAATTTTTTTTTAAATAAAAAATCTATGAAAATTAATTTTTGGGTTATTTCACCTGCTCATGATAGAAATCGACGCACTAAGTATAAAACTTAGTGGTGCTCAATATACTCATACATCCACAAGTTGCATTGGCAACAAGTTTTCATGAAATCATTCAAATACATCATTCATCATTATTCAAGCATAAAGCGTGTAATTCAACTAAAACCAAACCAAGCATTTTTAAACAAGAAATCACATATTATATCATATGTTCATCATTCGCAAGCATTTCAAGTAAAATCACATACTTATAACATAAAAGGCATAACTTATGAGTCATATGAGTTCCAAATACTTGACATATTAGCTTTTAATTATTTAGCTCATTTTATGATATGGTTCTTACACATACTTAGAAGAATTAAAAGCAGATAACGAAATAACATACATAGAACTTTTAGAGGGGCTTAGAAAGCTAAACAGAAACCGAGGAGCATGTTTGCTCAAGCAAAGAGCACCAAGTGCCTTGCATATTATCATAGCCCTAATCCAAGTAGCAAAGATTGCTAAATATCATAAATCACGTCAACTTGTATCAAAGCATCAAATCATACCAAGTACATAATAAACGCCTAAAATTATAATTATTCTTTAACCTTCTCTTCATTCTCATAAACCTTACTTTTCCATTAATACATAGTTTTTACATGATTTTACTCAACTCATGTACAAATTAAACCATAAAGCACATGAAAGTTCTCATATGCATTTTATCCAAGTAACTAGATAAAAGTCCTCATATTCATGCATTTTCTTAAATATCATGCATAAGAACATACATCCATACATATTAAATCATATGCCTTGAACACATTTATAAAAAAATACGGGGAAGCTACAAGTCCTATGAAAATTACTCATAGGCTTTATAACTTCAACATAAATAAAATACTTAGAAAAATCACATAATCTCATTTGCATGAAAAACACATTACTCGAAAAATTTGTCTTTTTCTCATGATCAAAAGAGTTTAGAAATCACGCTTTAAGTCAAAGTCACAACTTCTTTAGGATGAAGTTCATTCTAACATACAAGTTTGAGTAAAACAATTATTCTCATAGGAAAAGTACATTGCCTATGTGTGATTTTTGCCAAATCAACCTTTCTTTTTACATTTAACTCAAGCAAAATCTTAATTACATACTTAAAAGCATAACTAAACTCTATTCATGTAAGGTCTTACACAAGTTTTCCAAAATTCTCAATTTTCAAGTCATAGGAAAACAATCATTTTCAAGATTCATTAAGAACATTGCTGCCAAACTTGAACTACATATTGTACATCATTATTAGAGAGGAATCATTGATTAAAGGTAAGGAAATCCCGAGGCTATATTTCCCATAAGGTTCGGCCAAGGTGACTTCCTCACCAAAGAGATGATTTCTTTTTGAATCAAACCTACTATAATGATGTAAAGCCTCAAATAACATGTTTAAGCATTCAATTAACATAATTTTACCTAGCTAAGTCAAAATCCCCAATTTCAAGTCATAGAAAACTTATCATCCTAAGAATTTACTCAAGGCATTTTTCCAAATCTAGCTGAAACAAAGAGAAAGTTCAAGACTTTTTGTTTATTTAGTATTCTATTTTTCTTCTCTTGGAAACTTTTGAAATGTTTCTTTATTTTTCTATATTGTGATTGGACAATTTAAGTATTTTAATTAATATTTATTATAGATTATCTATGTTAAATTATTTAAATCTTTGAACTCTATCTATATATAGGAATGTAACACCCCTTTCCGACCCTGCAACGCTAGACATGAGATGTCACATTTTGTGTCGGAGGCACGTACATGCTTGCTTATTAGTACAGAACTAGTATCAAATGAAAACATAATATAATAATTAAAAACTCAATTTACAATTCCTTTAAAATGTACAGCAGAAGTAACCTAACCTGCTTAAAACAATTTGATTATAAAAGTCGAAAAAATTTAAATCTTTTAAAAATGGTAGTGAAACCCATCAAACATTTTCAAAATAGTTTAGGTAAACCCTACAATAAAACTGCAAGAGTTTCCTTTGTAAATACAACTTAGAAAAAGAATACACCTGTTAATAAAATATTCTAAAGTATCAATAAAATTCTCCAAAGTCCTATATGTTCAATATACCAATTCAGTAAAACAACTTCCCAAGAGGAAGCGTCCTCAAATCCAACATTAATAGAAGAAAAGTATCAAAAGTTCAATCCAAAATAAGAGTCCAAGTCCATGAGGAAATAATTTAAAATCCTCTAAGAGTTCAAGAGACAAAAACAAATACAATGGAATAAATAAAATAAAGCCTCAATTCAAGCTCTCATTATTTCAAATCTCACACATGCCACAAGTCTGCAGTATAGACTTATACTCTAATCTGGAAGCAGAAGATCTTCTCTCTGGACACAGGCACTCGATATCCTCAACAAACAAAACCTTCAACCTACGGGAGTTAAAAAAAATATCGTGCTGAGTATGAAACTCAGTGGTTCTCAACAATTATATGCAACCACAAAGCATACATGTATGGTCCATTGAAACCATACACATCCTCAATATATATATATCATTCGCTACAGTAGTCCACATTCTCACTCCATATTTCTATACAAACACTCATAATCAATTCATATTCAAGTTTACTTGCATCCTAAGAAACCATTTCAATCAATATATAAGAGCAAACTCATATAGGTGCATACTCACATACCCTGCAGTTTAAGTAACCTCGTAACAGTTAATTTCGCATATCTAAAGCGCTATCATTCATAATACCATATACACAAAGGTACTTACTACTCAAGTAATCATGCAATATCTTTGATATAAAAGGCATGCATAATATAAGAGCATATTACATTATTTTAGCATCTAGCCCGTGTCATAAGCATAAATGTTACATGTTATAATAGTATCTCACAGTGTAAGTAATTATATAAACATTTCTGAAAATAGTTTGCATATCATACAACCATATAAGTTTTACAGTAATAACTTGCATGTCATGTAATCACATAACATTAGTCTATAGGTAACTTATGTTGCAAATAATCTGTCTGATATAATTGTATGATCAATATCTTACTCATTAATTCATATTATTGGGCCTTAACGTTGACCCACAAGAAATAGAAGCATAACAGATAACAGAACGATGTCTGATAACAGTTAGATTAATACTGGCTAGTTAGCCTTTAACAGTAGACTTAGAAAGTCTTTCAGATATAGAGTCAGACGAGTGTGTCCACTCGTCCTAATACTGACCACCAAGCATGATTTTCAAGAAATATCCATCCACAAATAAACATTCTCTATTACCTTCCTTATAACCTTTCTCAAAGCAGAAAATCCTATATACAATCTTTGAAACACATTTGGCCCTCTTTTGTCACTCTCATCACACTTAAGCAAAAAGCTCCCCTCCTTATCAACTCTCCTCAACTCTAAATGTAGGACCTGAGTTTACTGTAGTGACTCTCTAAAGATCCTGTGAGTTTGGCCATTGCTTTAGCCTTTCCCCTATAACAGATTTGCTTGTTCACTGTAACTACATACTTCTCATTCATGTCTTTGATCATTTTATCAACACTGTAGTTGGGATCTTTCCTTATTTTTCCTGCGAATTCTATTGCAATGAAGTCCGTTGTTTATTTGTAAGTGACCTAAAACAACTATGTTCTTCTTGGTATTATCCTAATCAACCATGACTTATCTTGACCTTTAGTACTAGCATATAGTCTCCATGCACAGGAGTCCTGACATCTGCAATCAACTTTAGTCTTCTCATTTTTCTTCCATTTCACATTAAATCAATTATGCAAGCAAACTTCTTCACGGTAAGTAGTACTTCTTCCTTTGTTACAAACACCATCCCCATGAAAAATTTCAAATTTTATGGTCATATACATATCTTGTCTTCTTTTTTTTTTCTTCTTAATTTGTATATCTCCTTCTTCACTACTACATGCACTTGAGAATTCAAGATCTAATTGCTTATAGTCACTTTGTATATTTGGATTCCTCAAAGCAATTTCAAAGGCTTCATCTAAGCCTAATCCCTCCCCATTGTCAACAACAGTGTTCTTTAACTTCAACTTATTCTCCCTAGCCTTTATACACTCCTCATCATCCTTATCATCTTCAGCTATTGAACCGACATCACCATCCTCTACATCTACATATGCATAGTCAATGCCTACACTAACATAACTGGTCGGCAAATAGATTACCGTTTGGTTAAGAAGGAAACCAAGTACCGACCCGTCCGAATATTACGAAACCCAGTAGGTCTCCTTTCCCAGGATATGCGAAGCAAGGGGATGTCATGGAGAAAATCCCGATGTGGTGACCAACTTTTTCGATACGATAGCCCCGTACGACTCCACTCAATAGCCCCTTTAGTTGATAATCATATGCCTCCTCGACCTACGCCTCAGTCATCTATTGATATGACCATGAATTATTTTTCCAAGATTAATCGATTGTATCCTATCCCGCAACTAAATCATAGCACACCGCATTCTCTCCTACTTATCTGTGGTCATTTTGTTGTGGTACTATATATTTACCCTCATTAAAGAAGTATCCTACCCTGTCCTCCAATAGCCCTACGAAAAATCCTATATACAATCTTTTGAAACCAGCCCATTCAGTCCATTTTCCCCACCATATATTTTGGAGCTACCTCTTTTGTTATATAGATGTCCATCTCTCATCCCCTCGAATCAACTATAGTTCAGTCTATGGGCAAAAGCAGCGCTCTGCCCTTCCCCCTTCTACCAATCGAAACTCATCCCTCCATCTCTCAAATGTACAGGACCGCGTATACTCGCAGTTTTACCCTCTCTGTAATGACTGCTCCTAAAGCATGCCCGTGGGGGTGAGATGTGATGAGTGATTTTGGCCGAATTTGTGCTGTGATAAGCTTGGGCCAGGGTGTCAGCAGCGCGACCTGAAATACCAGCAGGATTAGTCGCCGTAGATTAAGGGCACCTCGAATTGCTCTAAGCCTTGGACTACGATACTGTCACTGTCCAATATCAAATGCTCGTGTTGACTCCACTTTTTTATTGCCCCAACTTAACCACTATGTATATAGCCTTGGGATCTTTCCTTATTCCGTCGTCGTATTTGCTTAGAGGAAATTGTCCCGCTCTAATCTTGCGCCCAAATGAAAGTCCGCGAGTTTGTCTATTATTCCGTCTGGCTAAAAGTGACCCCCTCTCGAGAAATAAGACAACCTAAGGTGTTATATCTTTCCTTGTACTTGGTTATTAGGCAATGCCCCCTCAATTCAATCCAAATGACTCTATCTTGACCTTTAGTACTAGCCATATAGTGCTCCCAGGTCGTCGTCTCAGCCAGGCAGTCCCTGGACATCTCGGGGTGCGTGCATCTCTTTGGCCAGATACTCTCGGCAAGACGTGCCTCATTTCGTTTTCCCTTTGGGGCCCGCACTTGTCGAATTCACATTACGAATGCAATTATGGCAACCGCCAAACTCTTCACCTTCACCGAAGCGGTAGTGATCGGACTGTCGTTCCTTTGTTACCAAACACACCAATCAGTCCCAGATGAAAAATTTTTCAAAATTTTTTATGGTTCGATCAGAACCATGGTCTGAACTTGATCTCTCTTGTCTTTTGTGTTTCGCTTCTTATATCTTGTTGAATCACTCTCCTCGGTATCCCACTTTCCTGCACTAACAATAGAGTGCTGGTCTCTTGACGCAAATTGCAAAGATCTATTGCTCTTATATGTCCAACTTATTGTAATATTTCCATTGGATGTCCGCATCCGAAGTAAGGCAATTCCAAAGGCGAATCCTAAGCCTAATCCCTTGCCCTCCCTATTGTCAACAACAGTGTTTCTTTCTTTAACCTTCTAAACTTATTGTCCGCCTCAAGCCTTTATATCACTCCTCTTCATTCTATCAACCTATTCATCTTCCAGCTCAAATTAGAAAAATGTCCTACTTCTTCCTTTGTTACAAACACCATCCCCATGAAAAATTTCAAATTTTATGGTCATATACATATCTTGTCTTCTTTTTTTTTTCTTCTTAATTTGTATATCTCCTTCTTCACTACTACATGCACTTGAGAATTCAAGATCTAATTGCTTATAGTCACTTTGTATATTTGGATTCCTCAAAGCAATTTCAAAGGCTTCATCTAAGCCTAATCCCTCCCCATTGTCAACAACAGTGTTCTTTAACTTCAACTTATTCTCCCTAGCCTTTATACACTCCTCATCATCCTTATCATCTTCAGCTATTGAACCGACATCACCATCCTCTACATCTACATATGCATAGTCAATGCCTACACTAACATAACTAGCTGCTCCATGCTCATTATCTACTGAGTCTTCATCTATTGAGTCTTAATTAGATGTAGGATCTATCTCACCATCCTTATTGTCTGCTAAGTCTTCATATATAATCAAACCTTCATTTTCGACCAATGTAGGATATACACCATCCTCTATGAGGAACTTGAGTAAGATACAAAATTATATAGTTACCACCAAATGCACACAAACAAATAGTTAGAGTAAATAAAGAGTAATCTCAGTTGATTCATGTCTTCCTCAGGTAATATAAATTTATGAGAATGCATGGTTTGTTCATTCTCTAAGATTTGGATTAATCAAATGACATAAATATATTTATAAAAAAAATGATTAAGGCTGGAAATCATCACCTAATTGCCAACTGGTTTTCTTTTAGCTAATTTATTTTGCTTCTAACTTAAAAAAATAGAATAACATATATCAAAAAAACAAAAAAAGAAAAAAAAGAAAGGAATAATGAGTAAATCTAATAAAAAATAATCCCTAGTACATGAGATTAGATTATTAACAGATTTACCAAAAAAAGAAAAAAGAAAAGAAAAACATGCACAAGAATTGCCATAGACAGTATCAATTGCCTTTGAAACAAGCAAATATTTGTTGATATGTGACTTCTCTCTAAAATAATGTAATAACCAAATGTCCTAATCTACTATTGCATTTACTAAAATAAAATGCAAAAGGAAAGCCTAATTGCTTCAAACAAATGAAAGTAAGCATCCATAGAATCCACAAATTAATTTTTTGACTTCCTCTATTTCTTCTATTTCCATTAATAAAAAAAAAATATTAGGATCATGGAGGTTTTCAATTTTGTAGATAGATATATAGGTCTTATAATGACTAATCTGATTTAGACTTTAAACGTGCAATCAAAGGTGGATTTGGTATTATTAAGTCAAAGCAATGAGTTAAAACTAATTATTGAAAATTTTTTTTAATAATAACAACTTTGAATAATAAATCAAAGTTTAACATGTAAGATTGTATGGAAAAATGGGGATGAAAACAACTGCATTTTTTTACTCAACTAAAATCATGTAAATATGTGTAATGTTCTATTTATCTTCCTCATTAAAAGACTACATATAAATGGAGTTCTACCATTCATTGATATCTTCTCGAGAGAGAATTCCATGCATAAATGCATCTGGGTTGGCATTTGAACTCTTACCAAATACTAATTATGTTTGTTGTTTGGGTCATTGCTATTAATTTTAGTTGGTACACTCCATCGTATTATGTGCTTACCTTAAAATTTTACTCATGTACTCTAACATCAAAAAATTTTGAAACAGGAAAATGGATTAATATTTAATTTTTCAATTATACTTAAAACACATTAGTCATATGTTTATTTTCAAAACTTAAAATCAAGTTTCACCTTTTAATAAAATCTTACGAGATCAATTAAGCTCCTGTAAATTGTATTGAAATCAAACTAATAATTATCTAATAATTTATTTTCATATTACTTGTAATGTGATAAACTATTTTCTCTTTGAAAAGTTGGATGGATAGTAAAGCAAAACCAACTACAGTGTTCTCTTATTATTATTTAAAGCAAAAATATTCTAAAAAACATTCACCCTTTATAGCTTTGGTTTAAAGTAAAAAGGGACAACAATATTATTCTAATTCAATTCATACATTCATGCACAAACTGAGATTCCATGGCAAAACCATTAAAATAAGAAAGATTAAGTTACAGTGGCTACGGAGTTATTATCCCAATATAAAAATTATCCTATTGACATTTAAAGGATTCTATTTTATAATTAAACTATTAACCCACTATCATCCTACACACAATAATTTATTCACAAAAGCCAAAACTTTGAAATTTATATTCCTAAATTCATTGCTTTATGAATGGTTATAAACTCCTAAAATAGCTAGCATTTTGAATGCTATAAACCATACAAAGGGAGTGATAAAACATGAAGATCTCACCAAACATCGACAACAGAAGCCCCAAGGAACATAAACCAAAGATGATTGCAAAACACAAGGTAAAAGTATGCAAATTTGTGTTCAAAAGAATAACAACCATATTATCGAGCAAAACAGAAAAGCAAACAGATTGTAGAAGCCATTAAAAGCAATAAGAGTGAAAGTTATAGAAGGTAGATACTTACCAATCTTTCTCCTCCCTAAATCTTCCCATTTTGGTGGTGGCACAATCCCGGAGGGCTCGCAATAAGCAGGGCAATCACATGAAATCGACAATAAACTGAAATGAAGAATGTATAGACAATAATGGTGTACTATAATTTGGAAATTTGTTTGAACGACAGAGGAGAGTTTTGATTAGGGGAAGAGGATTAGGTTAATTAATTAAAAATAAAACTATGTAATTTAGTTTAACTAATTGCTTGGGTTAAGCTAACTATGGGAGAGAGTGTGGGTCTCCTGAAAATTGATTAAAATTGGTTCAATTTCAAATTAAGATGTAATTATAACTTGTTTTTAAATTCAGGGTATTAGGAGAAGAAAATTGCACTTGGGGTACAATTAAAACAACCAGCAAAGTTTGGAGTTTTTTTGATGGTTTGGCCTTAAAAAAAATTAAAAAGAACGGAAAGGAATTACAACTGCGAATCATATTGACAAAGAAAATAAAGAAATTAATCTTTAAAGAAAAAGGAAATTAGAATGAAAAGAAAGTAAAAATTAAATAACAGAAAAAAACAATTACCTGTCCAAAGTTTCCTCTTTATGTCCAGAATGAATGTAGGTGAAAGGTTTTATAAACTAGCACAAAAAAACGGTAAAATGAGAAAATAAAAGCTCGTTGAGACATTTCGTCGAACAAATGGAATGCGTGTCGTGAAAACCAACCTTGCAAAGGTTAACTGAATTTTCTTCGCTCCATCAATATATCATGCAATTTCCTTCACAATCTATTCTCGCTCCTGCATTAATCAATGCATTTCTTCACATATGTTTTAGTTTTTTATTAGATCTACATATAGAATTGCATTTTTTTTCTTTCCTCTTTGTAGTATTTTTTTCTTTCCTCTTTGTAGTATTTCATATGCTAATCTGTGTGGCTCTTTTGATGTCAAGATTATCATTTTAGAATAAGATAAAAACTCTGATCGAGGCCATTTTAGTAAAGGATTGGAGATAAAAACTCTAAGAGAAACTCTTGCTCTTGCAGAGGTAGCGACAACACTTAGTGATTTTTGGTCAAATGAACAACCCTTAATGCTTGCAAACATTGGGGGAGCTTAAGGTTGGAGTTCGACGAGCCTTCAACGCCTTTGATTCTGGTGATGGCTGTCATAGATCTGGGCTGAAAGGAGGAAAACGATAAAGAAGAGGAAGATGAGTAAGGAATAGGAAGATTAAGGGCACTGTTTGTCTTTTTAAAACAAGTCTCTCTCCTCACTCTTGTGTTTTAATCTCATTTAATGGAATAAATATCCGATTTTGGACAGAAGGACCATTTAATGAGACGGAACTGAATCTCAGGGAATAAATACCTAATAGTCAAAAATATGAGAATGAGTTAATTAATTTTATAAAACCTCAAGGACAAAATAATTATTTTTCCTATATATTTATATAAACACGCTATTTAAGTTTGAATTCTATCTATATATAAAAATACGAAATTGGAGTTGTTAAATTATCGTTGAACTCTATCTATATATAAAAACACGGTATTTGAGTCGTTAAATTATACATATACTCTAGCTATATCTATTTCATATTCATGCATTTGTTTTTTTTTTTTCATCGTTCTACATCTGGGATTTGATTTGTTGCTTCTCTTTAATTTGTTTGTAATTAGTTGATTCTCTTTAATTTGTGATGATCATGTGACGGGTTTTTATTAAGTCTATTTAATCATTTTCTTAAAAATTGCATCAAGTTGATGGCCTTATTTGACTTATGCAAGGAGAGAACCTTGGTCCAATCAACATTGGAAATTCAGGTTATCCTTCTTAACTTTATGTGCATAAAAGACAACAATGCTTGGACTCATGATTGGATCTTCATACCAGTGTGCATAAAATTAATTTATCTTTCTATTCTTCTCTATCCTTTTAGAAAAATTTACCATGATTGAAGTTGCAGACACTGTGAAATAGATTAGTATCAATTTTTATTGTCCATCCGGTCCAATATTATTATTTGACCCTGAATGTGTATGGGAATAAAATATATTAATAAGTAATCGAAAGTAGCAGATGGTGTAAGCAATTTCCTGTAAAGAAATACTAAAAAATAGAAAAGTATCCATATATATATATATGATATTGATTTATGATTACATAAATTTTATAGCATTTTTAAATAATAATAAATTATATATAAAGCTTTAACAATATGTTTCCACATCAATATACAGTAACTTCATTTATTGTACGTAGGGAAGTAAAGAAGCTCTGAAAGGATATTTGGTCAAGACAGAACCACTACTTTACTGAGAATCCACAGCAGTAAAGAGAACTCAAATGCAAAAAGTTTATGAAGCAATACTATCAAAAAGAAAAGAACTGATGAACTTATTACATGTAGATTTTCATCAAAACGATTAAAAAAAACCTTTCTTTTACATTGATTTTAGAATTTTTTGATGAACTTATTTAATTATAGGTTTCACATCATAAGTCATGTTTAATTTTTATTGTGGTATAAATTTTGTGTATATGCATTAGAGAAGTAGGAAAAGAAGAAATAACACAATAGATTCTATGAAATATATATTTAAATTATTGGTTTATGTTTTCTATTAAAATATAATAAACTAATTCATATAATTTTTACTTTAAATGTTTTTAAAAATAAATCAAGTTAAAAATTATATTTTTTTCTAAGGCAAACAATAACATATAAATAAAAAAAATTCATAATTTATTTTTTTAATATTCTATTCTAAATTAAGGAAAATAGTTATATTTTCTATCTAAAACAAAACATTGCTGATTTTTTAAAGGAAAAATTTAAATATGTATATATGGTTATAATAAAATAGAAAATAGTTATATTTTCTATCTAAAACAAAACATTGCTGATTTTTTAAAGGAAAAATTTAAATATGTATATATGGTTATAATAAAATATGAAATACTCAATTATTTATGAGTAAAAGTAAATTTTAATTATTATTATTTCTTAGCATTTTACTAAAAATACTTTCAAATTTAAAAAATTTTCAAAATGGTAATGTAATAAAATAATAAAAATAATTGAAATAATTTATAAATACCGCACGCGAAGCACGATGACTAGTTTAAACTACATGCATGGCATCATTATAGAAGTAAATTCATTAGGTAAAAGTAAGAAAAACACAATCACACCAATGTCTACATGGTTCGACCAATCAAGGGCAACAACCAAGGAGAACAATTCTTTATCACACAAATATGCTACAATATTTAATAAGTGTCAAACAACATATTAAAACATTCAATTTAACCAATTTCATCCAATTAACTAAAAATCCAAAAATTTCATCAAGAATCCTAGAAAATCAAAAATGAGAAATTGAAAGAGGAGAAGGCAAATTGAGCACAGACCTTAAATAAACAACCTCCGAGATGCTAGATATCCCCTTAATTCAAACGTTTGCTTTACCTTTATCCAATTTTGAGGGTTCCCCAATTTCTAGCCAAAGGAAAGAAAATAAACACAAAACATTAAACAAATAAAGTATGAAAAACATGCATGGAGAAGAAGATATCAAAACCCTAAACAATTTCTAAGAATCTAACTAAAAATCTCAAATTTCTACTTACTTAAACTGTCGCTAAATCTTTTTCTTGGAAGAACACAACTCAAATCTTCAAAGACAAGCTTTAATCTTCATGATAAATGATTAATTTCATGGGATTTCATCTAACTTTTGGTGTCTCCTTTGAAGGATTTAAAAAGAAAATGAGAGGAGAAGGGAGAGAGATATTCAGCCAAATGGAGGGAGAAGAAGAGGAAAAAGAAAAGAGAGAGAAAAAAAAAAGGAAAAAGAAAGAAAAACGCTATAGCATATGTTTTAATGGCATTTTTGCAATTATCAACAACTTACTTATGAAGTTGAGTCAAACAAACCCATAATTAGATCATAAACATGAGACTAGGACAAACTCCTTAATTATTATTTGCCTTTATTTGTAATATTTTATTTTAAAAAATATAGAAAAAAATTATTAATGAAGAAAACCATAAATACAAATTGAATAATAAGGTATAATCTACCAAAGAAACAAAGAAAAAAATCTCTAGATACATTGAATATTGCTAAAGACGCTAATTTAAAACTATCAACAACCAAATTACAGCAAAAGCTGCTAATTCCATGATCTCTAGGCATGTGATACTTCACAAAATAATGAAACTAGGATAAATGCTCAAATTTATATTTATTTATGTATATGAAGAGACAAAAAGGGACAAAAGGGATAAAGATATACAGAGAGGAAAGAAAATAAATGTTAGAATAATTAATTGTAGACAAAAGAAAGGAAAAGTGGAATTGAAGGGTTGTCATTCAGAGAGGGACATTTAAGTTTAGATTTTAATAAATCAGTGAAATTTGAATATTGATGTATTGATGCTATAATGCACAAACAAAAACTACTTTAATTAATCCATTAACAAATTGGGAGTAGTTCATAAACTAACTTAACAATCACGATTTAGTAATATTAAAACCTTAAAACACAGAAAATTTTTAAAGAGAAACAAACTAGGGAAACAACAAATTTAAGAATAAAGAGATTGTACCTTATTCAAGAGATGTCTTCCTGATTAGGGATTTTTCTACAGTCGACCGCCTAGGATGAGCAATAATGGAGAGAGATGGAGAAGGTTATAGCAACATTGATGAGAGAATGAGAGAACTCTGAGATTTGTGTGTTAGGTCACGATTTGGGAATGACCAGAGAATGAAAGTTTTGTGTATTTCATTACATACAGAACGACATGGTTTTGAGTAAAAAAAAAAAAAAACTTTAGCAACGGATTATTAATCCATTTCCCTAATCTGTTACCCATCTATTTCTAATCTGTTGCTCATAAGTCATAATACTTTGGCCATACTTCAGTAAGGGAAAATATATAATTCGTTTCCCCACTTCTATTTCTATTTTCGTTTCTAGTCCGTTTCTACGACTTGCTCACTATATTCTTGCCGAACTTAGAAACATATATTTATGTTCCTGGTTTTTTCGTTTCTAATGAGCAATTGTATTTTCTTGTAGTGTGCATCTTGAGTACTCAATCAACATTTTAAATACCTTCATTTGTAAGTAAATGTAAAACTATATAAACTTATATAACTAGCATTACAACTAATCATATAACTACATTGAATATAGGCAACTTACATCACAATTAATCTTGTAATGATATAAGCATAGATAACTTGCGTCACAAGTAATCATATAACTTCGTCAATTTAGGAAACTTGCATCACAAGTGATCATATAACAGTGTTATCACAAGTTACTTCCACATTATTATAGTGTTCACCAATTAATATGCCAATCATTAATTGCATTCATATATGAGCCTTAGTAGTAACTCAAAAGAACAATAGCTAGAGATATCAATATAACAGCAGAAATAGAGAGGCATAAATGCCAGTTTATAGATTTGGCAAAGCCTACAGAACAATGGTGCTTTTTCTCCACCTTAGTAGGACACCCTAGGTCCAGCATATGATCGTAACTCAATTCTAATGTCTGATAGCATGTTTAGTATTTTCAAATTCAAAAATAGTTCAATGTTCACACAAATATTCAACCAAGTACTCATAAGGGCCCACATAATTATAGTTAATGTTCAATTTATTTCCAGTTGTCATCTCAGACACATCAGCACACATTTCAATCAAAGCACTATAATAAATTCTAGGCGTACCTAATTGCATCTTCAACCTGCTCATTCATTTAGAGACACTTAAGGCCCCCCGTGATCCAATAATCATAACTTAATATCCCACATGAGTATTCATATAAACATCATAAGTTCATCCAACCAGCTCATAACACAAAGAAGTCAACACCACTTTAACTCATAAAAAGTATCATGCATATAACTTCAATTGAGTATCCTAGAGTTGATAGATTGAAATTAACTTGAGAGACAACTTCTTAGGAAATTTAATTTTATATCTAACTAATCAATTCTTACCTTGGGTAGGTTTGATCATAAAGCCCCAAACTGAACCTCACTATCAAACTCGAAACCCTTGTTGCTTTTATTTCCAATTAACCTCACATAAAGTCAATTAAGTTATTAATATTGATCAATGATGATTTATAATTAACCTAAGATGTCTAGCTCACTTTAATTTGGCATACATATGTTCAGCCAATCCAATTAGATTAGGGTGAAAGCATGACTTTCTAAGTCAAAGTGTGTCAAACAACCTTACCTACTTTTAATTGCATAATTAAATATCCAATTTCATTACTACACAAGCTTAACTTGAAATTTTCTAATTAGTAATCATGTTCCATTTTAAACCCTAATTGATCTCTTAACATTCAATTAGTCACAACCCTTTATCAATTTAGCTTAACAAGCAAGCCTTACATACATAATCATTAAATTAAGTTGTCTAGCTACCTAGGTAGGTCTCTGATAGGTTCATCCAGTCTAGGTTTTTAGACCATCATTTACTCAATTATACACTTAGTCTTACTATTAAACAATTCAAGTACCAATTAGGCCTATCATACAATTAATTGCTTGGATATGGTCAGTTAATTCAAAAACCCCATATTAAATCAAAGTTTAACCATTGATTAAAGTATGCCTCTATTTGGTTCTTAATCTCATATATTACAATCGTATTTCACTTTATTACCATGGTCTAATTAACTAACCAACTTGAAATAATTTTGTCATTTTAGTAACTACATAGGTTCGGTCAACACAACACTGACAGTGATTTTCGCAAGTGTACGAAATCGCTACAAGTAATATATGATGAATAGAATATCGTTCCCACGAGAATTATATACCAAGTACTAAAATTATATTATCCTACTATTATTTAAACGGTAATTTAGGGAAATTGTTTTAAGGATTTAAATTCAACAAATAATAGAAGAAATCAAGCAAGCAATTTTTTATTAAAAGAAATCAAGGATTAAAGACTACTAAGGATTTTGACTTCACTTAATTCTATCCAATTTATTTTTTTTAAATTCAACAAATAATAGAAGAAATCAAGCAAGCATTTTTTATTTAAAAGAAATCAAGGCTTAAAGACTACTTTTTGACTTCACTTAATTCTATCCAATTTATTTTATTAGTTCGTTAATCAATTTTAATTGTTCAAGTAGGAGAAACAACCCTAAAATCACTAACAGCTCTCCTAATGTATTGTTAGCTATTTTAACTCGGTCTAATTACCTATCTCCCAATAGCATAATCAAACATGAATAAAATCAATAAGCTTATTGGTTTGTTTTTGAATTCATAAACTAAGGTTGTTAATTCATGAAAACCCCCTATGAGTCAAACTATATAGCTTCCGCATCAAGTTATTATTCTCATGTGATTTATTAAATTTTCCATATCCAAAACTCTTATTCTGATAATGATTAATGAAATAATTTAGTCCTGAGGAAAAACTCTGCTTGGAAGCATTAAGTTCATTAATAAATCATACCTTGAACAAAGAAAAACAAATCTAATTTTATAAATTGACAAATCTAATTTTATAAATTGGAAAAGAAATTATGGTACATCAAATCCCTAGTATGAGAGTTTGGTTTGACATAGTAATTAAATAAAACTCAATAATACTTGATAAAAATTCCATAATCAATCAAAATAATGAAATGAATAAACAAGATTAAGAGTTTAGAGATAAAAACTAGTCAATAATTAACTCTGGATGGCTTCCTTGAATCTTTACACAAAGCTTGAGCACTTGAACTCTTGAGGAGAGAAACTATGTATAAGAGTAATAGAATGAGAGATGCCTCTACGATGAATCCTTCATCCTTCCTCTCTTTATATAGACTTCTTTGGGAGAAAAATCCACTTTGTTTAGGGAATAAATCCCACCTTGTTGAGGGAATAAATTCCACCTTGTTAGGCCTTGAATTTCTCTCAATCATGACTCTTTCATGTGCATAGATTAGAACTTGATTTGCATATCAAGAAAGTATCCAAGGTGAGCTCATGAAAAATGATAGGGATTGGTTGGCGTTTTTGACTCAAAATAGCACTTGGTATTTAGCACGAGCATGCTGGTAGGCACAGTCTAGGCATTCCAAAAATTGATTCTATGGAGGGTTTAGCACGGGCCGTGCTCAGAGGCATGCCTAGATAAGGACTTGTGGCACGGTGCAGCACAAGCCGTGCTTCAGCAAGCATGCCTTTAGGTTGATGTCCTCTTTTAGCACGGGCATGCCATATAGCACAGTTGGGGCATGCTAGAGTCTGAGTCTCAACTTGATTTTCCTTGATTCCAGCATGGGCGTGCTGATGTGCACGGCCGGGCGTGGTAGAGCCTGAGTGTTCTGCTTTATTTTGCTCTTTTTTATGAACCCTACAATTTTCCGTAAGACCAAGTGAATTATGATTCAAGGAAGCTTTTACATTAAAACATAAATAAAACAGAAATAAAAACTAGATAAAGTAATTAAAAATACTAAAAGATCCTAATAAAACTATATTGAAAATACTATAAAAATAACACTATCAAAATTCCCCAAACCAAAAATTCCCGCCAAAACTTAAACCATTGTTTGTCCCTCAAGCAACAAAACTAAACTAATAAAGCTAGCTTAATATGGTAGGAATAACTTATTCACAATTTCAATAAAATATCAAAAGTCATTAACATGAGAATAAATAATGTTTTTCCCTTGCTAATTATATCTAGCAAAACTTCAATTTTTCAATAAAAAACACATTCCCTTAATTTAAAACATTAAGTTAACAAGGAAACATAAGTTAACAAGATTTTTA